CAGGAATTTTTACCTACTTGCAGTAAAATGAACCAGTTGCTTTTGTGGATGAAAAGCCCTTAATCTTTATAGGATGCAGTCATGGGAGCCGTCTGATCTGAGGGGTTTCTTTCCGTCTGCCCCTACCACAGTCATGAGTTCCTCCTTGTATGTGAGGGCTTCCATTTCTGTTAGCAGTAGCTCTGTGCCACCCCCGTGAAAGCTAATGTCAGAAGAGGTGGATGATTTGCTTCAGGCACAGCATACATTACTTGCTTACTATTTCTCTTTCTGCCTTCACAGTCTCTCCTTCCTTTCCTGCTCCTTCATTGTCTTTCCTGACCTGTATGAGGTTATCTGAGACTGACCATAACTACTGCTACACACAGGGGCTGTTCTCAGCACCTTGAAGATCCTCCTCTGTTCCTGCATTTAACTTGCCCCCGGGACTGAAGCAGACCTGGGACTGTTTTCTGCTCTGTCCCATGCGTGTCACACTTTGGGGAAGATGAAGTTCAAATACAGATGGGCAGCTGCAAGCTGGAACTGATTCACAAAAACAGTTTCCATTCCCTCTTTAACAGTTAGGTGAATGCGAACAGCCTGACTGTGTGCAGGCACAGATCCACACGTTTCTGCTCAACGTCTAACACCTTCTTTCCCCTTGCCTTGCCCTGCTTCTGCTACCATCCCATGTGGTAGATGCCTGGCAAGAATGACAGGGTAGTTCATTGACTGGCTGCCAGGGCAGCTTCTGAGAGGCTAATGGCACCTGTGAGTGCTGAGAAATCAGCCTCTGGTGCACATACTTGACTACTGGCTCAGAAACTCTGAGGCTAGGAGACCTGACTTACTGATGAGAGATGAGATGTGTGCAGGGCGTTGTGCTCTGTGAAGTATGGGGTCCAGCTGTGGGAGTGCATTTACCCTCTGCATATACTTGAGGTGTGACAGTGTCTGTCCATAAGGCCCGTGGGTCAGTACTGCTGGCTGTATCTTTGCGTTGGTCTTGGTGAACACTGAGCTGCTTTGTTCCTCCTATTGGTCATTCAAGGAAGACAGGCAGAAGGTAGGCATAGCAGACGGGACATTTAGCTTTCCAGGCCCATTAAAGGAAAGGAAAGAGAAGGAGCAGTGCAGAGTAACCAGGCTTCTATGAGCTGTGCTTCCAACAGGAATTAGCTGAACACACAAGACCTACTGGCTGACTGACTGACTAACAGAGTTGTACTGCTTACTGTGCAGTAAGCACTGTATGAATTACTGTTGTCATTTCCCCTTGTTTTTTTCCAGTTTTGTATTTTTATTATTTATTTAGATGATCTCCAAAGGTTGTTTCCAACCCCTACCTTTCTGTGATTCTGTTAACCTGCTCTAGGTGAACCTACTATGGCAGGAGGGTTGGACTAGATGATCTCTAAAGGTCCCTTCCTACCCCTACCGTTCGGTGATTCTGTGATTTTCCAGCCGATTTCCTTACTACCTTATCTTTCCCACCTATTTCTGCTTTCAGGCTGATTGCAGAAGAGAAGATCTATGTGTTCGTTCTCTACCTTCATCCCCCAGTTGCTCTTCCCACTCACATGCCAGTAACTTCAAATTCATTTGCCAGTTTCAGTCAAATTTCATAGAGGTTTCAAAGGCATTACCATCTCCCAGGGCCCCAGGAAGGAGAAAGCACTACACTGGTGTGACCACTGAGCACAACAGTTGTCTTGTTTGGCTTGCCACTGGCCAGCGAGAACCTGTGTGACTAGGAGCAAGACACACACAGCATACTGGTGTGTGCTCAGCCACTGAAAAGCATGGACGGGAGTAAAGGGAATGGTGGAGGAGAATGTGAAGCAGGGGAAGGGGGAACTTAAGACATTGTGAGGGACGTGAAGTGGGAAGCTAGAGCTACCGCAGGAGGTATCAGGACATAGGATCGAACTTAATGGGACATCAGAATACTGCCAGCACAGGTTATTGCATGTTGAGCATCTGTGTTCTTCATGTAAATAGTGAAAGCAACGTTCAGCCAACATGTAATGATTCTTCTGGATTCTAAGCAAGAATGATCATACGCGTAAGCCAAATGTTCATCCAATATCACTGATACAATACCAGTGACTTTTGTGGAATATTGTCAGTTTATGCCAGCCAGGTCTACTCTGTAAGCTTCAGGTTCAAACCTCTCCGTAGGTCAAGGGTTTACAGTCCTGAAGGGTTTCTCTATCCCATTTCTAATAAAGTTTCACATCTATTGCAGGATTACCCCTTTCCCCTTGTCTGGAGAGAAGCAGTCTGGTAGGTTCAGAGATGCCTGGAATTGGAGCCTTTGCTCATTACAAGCGGTGCAGAATTGTCCATTCTGGAAGTTCAGTGCTGATCTGTCTGACATGCAGCACTGCAATCAACAGCTCTGGAAGATAAATCGTATACGGATAAATGATTCCCCTCCTTTGTGTTGTGCAGCCTGTTGCACAGGGCACTGATTACACTGAACAATACACAGAATTTCATTCACCTTTAGCAAGATTCAGCCTCACCCAGGGAGGTGTTGCAGTAGTGCTTCCAGCATGCCCACCGCTCTGAGCAGCGGTGCATTGCAGCCGGCATTGTCCGTTCATCTGGGGAGCAAAAGCTGTAAAGTGAATCCTTTGGTGTCTCAAGGCTGCACCCGTTGCAAAATGAATCCCAATCCTCCGTTTTTCAAACAAATTACATGGCTAAATTGTCCTTGGCTGGGCAGTCACATCTGGTTTAGGACTGTATTTAGCCAAATAAATGGTGGAAGGAATTCATCCAAGGAAGGGAAGGAAGAGAAAAAAAGGGAAAAAGAGAAAAAAGCTGTGCTGTTCAAATCAGCTTGTGGTTTCAGCCTCCTGACTGACTTGCAGTATAGCTCAGGTCTGGAATCGATTGCACAGTAAAGAATTGGGCTTTTTGCTCAGTTTTCACTTCAGGTGTCTGACCCTTGCCCAGAAGAGGAGGGAATGGGTAGAGCGAGATACTCATTTCCCTTTGGTTACGCCCTGAAAGGGAAAAAGAAGGCATCTGCATCCTTTCTTACTGTAGCCATCTTGTGTATCTGGTGAGTCACTTTAGCTCACAGAGGTAAAAAAGATTATTCCCCCCTCTCCACAAACGTGGGGGAGGGTGGAAAGGCTTTATGCTTTCAGGACGTGGTTACTCTACAAAAAGAAAGGTTTAGGGGGAGACATAGTCCAGTGTTTTAAAGAATCAATGAAGTATATATATGCAATGAAGTATATTGTGTAAATAATAAAATATAGGCAAGTGATACATAGCCACAAACTGTTTTGTTTTATGGCATCGCACCGGAAAAAAAAAAAAAAAGGCTTTGTTCGCAGAGAGATGTAGCATTTTTCAGTTGTGTCATTAGTCAAGTACTGAGGCCAGGTTTTTCCTAATCCCTTCAGAAGGCGTTAAGACTTTTTTAGGTTTAGTGGCCAGCCAGTGCCCACTGCTGAACTACTGGCTGCTGCCTGCTGCAGAGCCTGGACTTATTTCCAGCTCCACTTAGCAGTGTTTTAGATCAGGTGGGATGGCCAGCACAGCATCACATCAGTCTGGAGATATGTTTCATCACAACAGACGGGCTGGCAGAGCCAGCAGTCCTTGCCACTGGAGAACCCACGCTGGTTTGTACATCAGCGGGAGAGACCTGTGGGCAGGTGTGCCTTATGGGCACTGGGCAGAATGGCGGGTGTCATAAGGGAGGGGTGGGGAGTGGGATAGGCTTGTTTGGTCAAGTAACTAAGGCCACAGATAGACACTTAGCTAGCAAATGGCTGCTGTGGAATAAGCAGTCACTGCCACCCAGTTGTTTGTCATCACCGACTTCTTCCTCCCCCACAGGACTGGCCGCAGGGATCCGTGATTCACACCTCCGTGCAGAAGCTGATGGCTTGGCTTCAGAGGCCGGCAAACGCGAGCCGGTGCTAAGCCTGCCTTTTTGCTAAAGCATCTGGCTCCTGCTGGCAGGGGCTGTAGATTTCATCAGAGGGGCAGGAACAAGGAGTTGGCAGCCTTAGTCTTCCATAGCCGTTGGCTACGCAAACCTGTGTCAGTGCTCTGAGGGGCAAGATAAAACCTACACAGATGTGGAGGAGGAAAAGAGCAAATGTGACTCATGCCATTATACAAAGTGTCATTCTCATTGTTCAAGGTGACTTTAGAAAGGAGCTAGCGATAATAGAAAGAAACTGAGTGAGGACCAGTTCAGGCTACAGATCTCCTCAAAAATCAGGCTGAAAATTCAGAAGCGTCTCCCATGAGAACCGGGGGAAATTCTTACAGGGCATCCCAATGGAGCTGGAAAGTCGGATCCAGCTGTTCTGATTCTGTCCCTGGGATTTGTATGACATCGTGCCTGCACATTTGTGCATAGTTCATGGATATGAACACTCTCTTGTGCATTTTTGTAATCCCTTTGTTTGTTAACATCTGAGCTACGTCACCTGTTGGAGACTTCCCAGTGCTGTATCAGTGACAAATCATGCCATGTTCTTGCTTTTAACCCACGTTTGTCCCTTGTCTTTTGGTAGAATCAGCCCTCCTCCCTTTCCATGCTGGACTTGCTCCACGTGGCTCGTGACATTGCCTGTGGGTGTCAGTACCTGGAGGAGAACCACTTCATTCACAGGTGGGTGAACACATCCGTGTCGGCATGGGCGTGACTCGCACACAGGTCAGCGCTGCCTCATAATGCCCTGTTTGATATGTTTATGTCCTGCTGCACTCTAGTGGCTGGATACCTTTAAACGAGGTAGATAAAATCAGAATAATAGAAGCAATTAAGAGAAAAGCTGCTACAAATCAGGTTGCAGAGGTTTGTAGTTTTACCAAAGATCCTGAGCTCTGTCTTGGTGCCTGCACTTGTGCAGCCTGTTTGGCTGCTCTGCAAATACAAACACAGAAGTCTTCACAGCTCTGCCCACCGTGAATTTTATTTAGTTCCTTTCTGTTCATTTTGGAAC